CTGAGACRGCCTCTGCCAGGGGCAAGGCTTCATCTGGAAAACCAGGCAGGGATTTTTGAGGAAGCAACATCAAAGCTCGGACCTCACAAGGGAGCTGGAGTCAGGTGAAGAAAGGCAGGTGGGGCGTCCCAGCAGCAGGAACGGCATGTGCAAAGGCCCTGAGCAGGAGGAAGCTGCTGGGTTCCTGCTGCACTTTCCAAGGCTCCTCCCTCAAGCGCCTCTCAATTCTGTGACCCAACATCCTGTCGATACATTTCCTTTTTACCTAAAATGCTTCCTTTATTCTTCTGGGGTGCCGGGGACCAAACCCAGGATCTAACTCATGCTCAGCCAGCACTCTACCACTGAGCCACACCCTTGGTCCTTCACTTAAATGATCTGGTGATCTACTGCCTTCCACCAAAGGGCTTCGAAGTGTCACGGGCCAGGCCACACGGGCAATGGCCAAACAGACGCCATTTTACCCCRGGACTCCGTGTCATGTCAGAAATGCTTCTCCCGTGGGAAAGCCCCGCCTCTGTACCCATTAATAGTTACCTCGCATAACATACTTGACAAYGCAAAACAGCAATTCTCATACAGTACAAAATGGTTCTCTTTGGTGTCCATTTTTCTTGAGCAATCTGCCTWGTCCAGACGTTAGTGACCATTCTCTAACTTGTACTGAACTAGGGTCATTTTGACCCCCTCCCTTCTGCTTGCTCGCTGCCGTGCCAACCTGGAGAGYCCCGTGGGAAATACCAACGTACCCATTGCATTGTCTCGCTAACTGCCCAGTCCAGCTTCTGTGCCTGCTTGCTTGCAGCTGCGTCAATCCAGATGTGGTTTTTGTATAAATATCCTAAATGCTCAGGGCTGTTCCTTGCAGAGACAGTTGTGGGTCCTGCGGGGAGCAGTCTCCAGCTGGCTAAATAAAGACTCTTCCACTGGACAAAGCTGGGACTTGGCGTGTTTTCTGAGCGACCTGCCCCACCACAGGAAGGACACAGTTGGCACTTTAGGTAGGAGATTTCGACCACGGTTCCTGCTGCCTTTTCTCAGGGCCATATCAACGTGAATCTCTCAAATAAATCCCTTTGTCGATGAGCCTCCATTTGCCAGGGAGACGCTCCTTGGCAACCTGGACGTGGACCCTCCTGGCTGCTCCGAGGAGGACCCCGGAGCACCCTTCGTGCAACTCAGTGTTGAAAGGCGATCTGACGCCTCCATCCTTGGGTCAGGTCCTCAGCACGATCCTGCAATGGCCAGGACACAGAAGCGGGCACTGTGCGGGCCGGGGGCCTCTGCGCTTCCTGCCCCAGGACCTCCTCCACCCTGTGCCAGGGCCACCTTGTGGCATCATCTGGGCCAAACAGAGCAACCGCGAAACAAGGGTCTCCACCCTGGGGTCCATCTGAACTCAGGACGGCCTCCGGGCCTGCTCCCCTGTAGCTTCCACCCATTTTACCAAAAGTCAATCCACGCACCTCGCAACCCAAACCCCGAGAAGGACCGGAGCCCTTTCCTCGCCCCTCACGTCAGATCCTCGACAGCCCTGCCTCCAGAACAAGCCACACGGCAGCCCTCCCCCGGTTTCCTGGGACACCACCACCCAGACCTCCCGGCTGCACCCGCCTACGTCTCCCCAGGCCCCTCTTCTTCTCCAATCCACTGACTTCAGCCAGAGTGACCTTTTAGAAATGCAAATCAGGGACCTGGGGCTTATAGTAGGTGCTCAATAAATGTTTCCTGTAGGGCTGGGCTCAGTGGTAGAATGCTCATCTAGCAGGTGTGAGGCACTGGGTTCGATTCTCAGTACCACATTAAAAAAATAAACAAATAAAGGTATTGTGTTCATCTACAAGTAAAAAAGAAATTCTAAAAAGAAATAAATGCGAATCAGATGGTACCGCTACCCTAAGGACTTGCCCTTGTCTCTGGGGTAAAACTCCAGCTCCTCTCCATGGCCCCTAAGACCCTGCCTGATATGATCCTGGCCCAGGCTCACCTGTTGGGCCTCCGATGCTACGACCCATGTTCATAACCCAGAAAGCTCCTCTTCATCCTCAGGCTCAGGGTAAAAGAGAGCCTGCTTCAGCCACCCCCACATCAACTTGGGGCTTCCCGTTTATGATTCTCTGCCCCACGACGACGACTCCCTTCCCTTGTGCATTTGGTGTCTGGCTCCTCTGCCGTCGACGGTGAGCTCAGTGCAGCCATGAGCTCCTCCTGTCTTGCTCTTTGCTCTATTCCTAGAGCCCACCAGTGTCGGGCTTATAGTAGGTGCTCAATAAATGTTTCCTGTGGGGCCGGGTGAATGGATACACGGCAGCTGGGACTCTACAGTTTGGATTTTCGCAGCTGGTCCTTACCAGGGTCTCATAATCTTCTGGAAAGAACTTGGACCCTGGGAGAGGAAGAGTCTCCATGTCCTAAATTCTTCAAGATAGATATTTCACAGTTTGTCCAAGCATGGGTCTCCGGTCCTCATCAATCTCCTCTAAAATAGTCACAGAATCTCTCTAGGTTCTGTAAAAGGGCAGGAACACCATTTTCCATTTTCCCAGTACTCATCCAAGGGCCCAACATAGATTAAAAACTCAGACTTCCGCCTGGATATGGGGGCAAACACCTATGATCCCAGCAACTCAGGAGGCTGAGGCAGGAGGATCACAAGTTCCTGGGCAGCCTCAATAACTTAGTGAGACCCTGTCTCAAAATTTGAAAAAAAAAAAAGTAAAAGGACTGAAAATGTAGGTCAGTGTTAAAGCACCTCTGGGATCAACCTTCAGTAAACCCTCCCAAAAATTTAACGGCAGGTCCACATGGCCTGAGTTCAAATCCAGCTGACACCTACAGCCTTAGTGAACTGATTCCCTCTCTCTGAACCTTCTTTCCCCAACTATAGAAGAAGCACAATAATGGTAAGTTTTTCAGGACCACACTGAGATTAATTAAGATGTTTAATGTACCAGGTATATACCATAATTAATAATTATTAGTAGGTTGATGTTTTCAAAGGTTAGGCAATTCTCCATTTTGCCACTAGATGTCGCCACAGACTTGGCTAAAACAGCGGCACTCACTTCCCAGGGGAGAAACCCTGAGAGCTGGGGACTGGGAGGCCCAGGACTTGAATGAAAGCTGGTTAGGGATTTGAACCCAGTTGTCCTGCCTGCTGAAGGCCATGGTTGGGAGGGGCTGCTCTGGCTTGAATGTGACCCCGGAAAGTTATCTCCAAATTTATATGAGAAGGGTACCTGGAGGTGGTGCTATGAGGAAGTAACTATCATTAAAGGGGGTCATGGGAGTGAGACCCTCCCGATGGCATTAGTGGCTTTGTGAGAAGAGGAAGAGAAACCTGGGCTTGCTCTGCCAGCCACGCAGAGCTTCCGACGTGGAGTGAACCCGTCTGGGTCTTTAGACACAGCAGCAGAAAATGAGTCGAGACAGGGGCCTTCCCGACCAGGACTCCTACCTCGGTCCCAGAGGACATCCACCTCCTGGAACAGCCCATTTTATATGTGATGATAAGTAACTGTGGGTGTTAGGACAGCTGCTCTTTTCAGCACTTTAAAATGTGAACTCATTGAATCCCCACAAGCAACCATATCAGATAGGACCTCACGCTCTTTTCATTGACAGATGGCAAAGTGAGGCACAGAGAGGTTAAGTTTTGCTCAAGGAGACACAGCTAGCAAATGCGGAATGGGAACAGATCCATTCTGGCTACAGTCTGTGCCGTCCCAGATCTTCATTCTTTGGTCACCTTAGCAATAGTGTTTCTTATTACATTTTTAAAAACTGGGGGGAAGGCAGTACTGAGGATTGAACCCAGAGAGTCCCACTGAGCTACATCCCCAGCTCTTTCTGAGACAGGGTCTCACTAACTTGCCCAGGCTGGCCTTGAACTTGAACTCCAGTAGCTGGCATTATAGGAGTGCACCACTGCCCTTGGCTTATTGGAGATCTTTTGATCACACACAGTTTCTTTGGTGCTTTAACATTTAACAGTTGTTGCGTTACAGGTCGAAGTTCCTGAGTCTATGGTAGAGCACTTGCCTAGCCCGGCCAGGCCCTGGGTTCCACCTCCAGCACAACAGGAAAAAAGAAAGAAGGGAGGAAAGGAGGAACGAGGAAGGAAGGAAGGAAGGCTATTTCAGAAAAAGGACTTGTCAAACAGTGACCGTAGAGGATCGTAGGTTTTGTGATTTCGCAAAAGGTGGTCCCACTCGTGACCTGTCACCGGATTCTTCATCAGTTGGTGCCACATTTGCCTTCTCGTCCTAACTGTGTCTCTCCACCCAGCTAAACCTGAAGTTTGGAGAACAAATAAGGGAGGGAGGAGCTTGGTCTGGCCTTTCATCATCCATTCACTCAGTCACTCAGCAGTTACAGCCTTCCCCTCCCTGCCAGACCCCAAAGTGAGGCCCCTCCTCCAGGAGCTAACAGCACAGTGAGGTCAGCGCCCCAGGAAGCACACGGGCACTGGCATGGCCCAACTGCCCGTCTCTCCAGGGCGCAGGTGCATCTGTCTTCTCCCCTGGGTGCTCCATGGTTGGCACAGGGCCTGGCGTATTTTAGGTGCCCATTGATATTTGCTGATTGAATGTGATGGCTTCCTGGAGGAGGTGGCCTTTGATCTGAGGCTTTGAAGACGGGAGAGAATCTGGACAGCTAAAGTCAGAGGAGGGGTACCACCCCTCCAGAGGAAGCAGGATGGGGTCGTTTTAGAAATGGCTGCTGAGAGGAGGAGGAGGGTTCTGGGTGAGACAGGAGGCAGAGAGAACGGAGAGGAGGCTGATGGCTGGGACCAAACTTTGGTAATAGGGACAGAAAATGTCCCCAAGGAGGATTCTGGAGGAAAGGGCAAGGCTTGGGAAGCATGAGTCAGCGTCCAGGGAGGGGCAGGCTGGGGAGGGTGGGAAGACTGTCCAGGACTCTGACGCTCCCAGAGCCCGGGCTGGTGTCAGTTCACCACCTGGAACTGAGCCTGAAGACAGCACAGGTTTGTGGACAGAGAGGAAAGGGGTTGCTGAGGAGCCAGCTCTGGGGGCAGGGGGTAATTCTGCTTTCTCTTCTCCAACTTTCTGGAGCCCCAAGGAGAAGGCTGGCCACAGAGACCTTGCAATAACCCGTCCTGGCATAAAGGTACCGGACGACAGGTCCCCCGCGACACAGGCCTGACCCTTGCTCAGCAGCTGTACCGTGAGCCCTGGAATGGTAAGACCCCTCCTATATTCAGTATTTTTTCTTGGGATAGAACATACATAAAGCTCCTGGCCTTAGGGTTGGCTTGATAAGCTCTTACACATGATCACCAACAGGTCTAAGAAGAGTTCTTTTCCAGCACCTTACAAAGTCTCTCTTGCTCCTTTCCTTCGCTACTCCCCTCCTGACCCTGGTCACCACTATTTTGATTGCAATCAACATAGATTGGTTTTGCCTGCCCTTGAACTTTATACGAACAGACTCAAATAGCATGTACTGCTTTTGGGGTCTGGCTTCTTTTAGCTTGCATATTCTTTGCCAGATTCATCCATGGTGCTGCATAGATACCGAGATTGTCCTTTCATACACAGAACACAGTGTGCTTGTCCCTCATAGCCAGAGGGGATTGGTTCCAAGGCACCCTGAAGATACAAAAATGCTCAAGTCTCTTATATAAAATGAAATAGTATTTATATATAACTTCCCCAAATTCTCCTGTATGTTTTGTTTCTCTATTTATTTAGTATTACTGGGGATTGAACCCAGGGGTTTTCTACCACAGAGCTACACCCCAGGCCCTTTTTATCTTTTGGTGGTACTGGGGATTGATCCCAGGGCCTTGCGCATGTGAGCCAAACACTCTACCAACTGAGCTCTATCCCCAGGTGCCCCCAGCCCTTTTTAATTCTCATTTTGAGATTGGGTCTCACTAAGTCACTGAGGCTGGCCTTGAGCTTATGATCCTCCTGCCTCCGCCTCCTGGGTAGCTGAGATTAAAGCGTGCATCACTGCACCTAGCATTCTCCTGTTTATTTTCAATCAGCTCTGGATGAAGAATAATATCCAATACAATGTAAATGCTTTGTAAACAGTTGTTATACTGTATTGTTTAGGGAATTATGATGAGAAATTCTGTACATGTTCAGTTCAGATGGAATTTTTTAATGCAGGAATATTCATAACAGCTTTTTTTTAATAACACACACAAACTGGGGAGAGGGGAACCAATGAATATATTTCAAACAGTTATTCATGGAATACTACCAGCTTGAAAAAGGAGCAAAGTTTTGATACACATAACAAAATGGATGAACATCAAAATGGTAGTAGCCACACCTGTAATCCCAGCAACTCAGGAGGCTGAGGCAGGAGAATTGCCAATTCAAGGCCAGCCTCAGCAACTGAGCAAGGGCCTGAGCAACTCAATGAGACCCTGTCTCAAAATAAAAAATGTGCTGGAGATATATCTCAGTGTTAAAAGCACTGAGTTCAATCCCCAGTATCAAAAAAAAAAAAAAGTCTGTATAAGTATCAAAAAAAAAAAAAAGTCTGTAAAGGTTTTATATGTACTGTGTGATCCCATTTATATGGAAAACTATTCTGTGGTAGAAAAAAAATCAGAGTATTGTTTGCCAGGGTGAGTGAGGTATGAGGGAACTTTCTAGACTGATGGTAACAGTCTATTCAGATAGAATTTTGATGCAGTTTTTCCCCAAATATTTTAAACCAGATGTTAGCTGAAACTTCAGAAGCAGAACCTGTGGACAGAGGGCCAACTATATTCCATTCGAAAAACAAGACACCATTTGTTGATCTGTTCTCCTGCTAATGAACAGTGGGGTATTCCCAGACCAGTGGAGCTATGACTTTTTTTTTTCCCCCCTTTGGTGCCGGGGAATGAACCCAGGGATGCTTAACCACTGAGCCACATCCCCAGTCCTTTTTATTTTTTATCTTGAGACAGATTCTTGCTAAATTGCCAAGGCTGGCTTCAAATTTGCCATCCCTTCCTCAGCCTCCCAAGTTGCTAGGATTACAGCGTGTGTGGCAACACTTGGCATGAATTTATGCTCTGTGAACGTTCTTGCACAAGTCTTTGTGCAAGACTTAAGTGGCCCATTTCTCTAGGGTAAATACCTAGAAGTGGCAATTCTAGGTCATAGCATACAAGCATGTGTAGATTTAGTAGACTGACAGTTTTGTACAGGAGTTGGACCAACTTTCTCTGCCACCAGCAACGTGTTGATGAACTGCAAATTGCTCCAGATCCTTGCCAGTGCTTAGCTTCCCCTCTTCTTTTTTGTGGGGGAGGGGGTACCAGGGATTGAACTCGGGGGCACTCAACCACTGAGCCCCATCCCCAGCTCTATTTTGTATTTTATTTAGAGACAGGGTCTGAGTTGCTTAGCACCTTGCTTTTGCTGAGGCTGGCTTTGAAATTGCAATCTTCCTGCCTCAGCCTCCAGAGCTACTGGGATTACATGCATGCGCCCCAGTGGCTCCCCTCTTTTTGTTCCTCAAAAGATAAAATGCAAATCCATTGTGTGGCACTACCTGCCTTACTCCTTACACTCCCTGTGTTCTTTCCTTCCCACCTTCGTGTCTGGGACAAGTTGTTCCTTCTATCTAGAAAAATTTCCCTTTCTCTCTTGGCCAGCACAACTCCTGATCATTCTTGGTCTCTTGGCTTAAATGCCATCTTCCCAAGGAGGCTCAGTCTTCATCCCCCACCCTACATTAGGACCCTATTCACTTTCACCACACTCTGATTTTCCTTACATCACTTCCCCTGGTGTATAATTATGTACTGATTTGATTAAACTTATCGGTATATAGTGATTATTTGATAACCGTGTTTCCTCCCCCACCCCTGCCCCCAACACTCTCACCCATTAGACTGGCAGCACACAGAGGTCAGGCCCAGAGCCCTGGTACTCTCTCTACCTCTTTGCCTTTAACACTGCGCTTGCACATAGTAGGCACTCAGGAATGTGCCTAATCAGCTAATATATGAACACACTGACTCATTCGGGGCCCATAAAAACCCCGAGGTAGGCATTTCATCGACTTGAGGAAGCTGGGCGTTGGGGTGGGCGGGTGGCTCGCCTGCCCAAGGTCCAGGGCGAGGGGAGGAGCAGGCACCAAGTTCTGAGCGGGGGGTCTCTGCCCTTGTGGAAAGGCAGGCGCGGGGCCGGACTGTGCGCCTGGAAGCACACACTCCGGACTGTGAGCCCGGAGTCCACGGCTGCTCAGGAGCAAACCCGCCACGACACGGCTCTCCAGGAGAACTAAGCCACGCCCGCTCGACTCTACGAGTGAAGATCACAATCTGCTGCATATGCATGAGGGGACCACGGGCCCGTGATTTGGGGCTCCCCAGCTTTCGCCTGATTAAAAATTCTCCGGTCCTGAAGAACCCGGCACCCCATAATTTCTTAAAAGTACATAGGAGTCCTTCAAAGCGTTGTCTGTGGCGGAAATTGGGGGAGGGCCCGGCGAAGGTGGTCTCATGTGGGGCCATAGGATCAGGCGTCCGCCGTGGGGAGCTCGATCCCGCGAGGGGTCCTCGTCCGGCTCGACTAGAAGACGAAGGGGGCGTCTCCCCAGTTTCTGCGGCGTTGGTGGAGAGCTGAGGTGGAGGCAGGCTGCGGCAGCGACGGCGACGGTGGCGGCGGCGCCATGGCAGGGCTCGCAGGTACCGTGGCGTCAGCCCGCGGGGAGCGAAATGAGAGGCCCTCCTTGCGGCCGCGCCGCCATGTTGTCCCCTCGGGGTCACCTTAGGCGTCGCTGGGTCCCTCATTGGGTTTTCCTTCCGCGTGCCCCGGGGGTGGGGGCACCCCTGTCCGGCGTCGGGTGGTGGCCCTGCTTCGCTCCGGCCTGGGCCTGGAGGGTCCCTTCCCGGCCCGAGGGTGGGTCAGCGGGCTCCTGGGTTCTCGCTCGGGCCTCCAAGGTCAGCGCCCTCCCGGGATGGGGCAGGCAGGACTGGGGAGAGCGACCACTACCTCTTCGCCCTGGGACCCAGGCAGGGGGCCAACTTGAGGGGGGCCTGTCACTCTTTCCCCGCCACTTCAGTTGCCTTTTTTTTTTTTTTTTAAATCAGAAGGGGCATGGGGTGGGCGAGGCCCCCGGGTCCCGCTTTGGTGTCGGGTGGTAGGTGGACGCTTTGCTTCGGGTCGCGGGCGCTTCTCATCCCTCTAACTTCACATCAAGTCTGGACGTTCGTTCCCTTTCTTCCAGTGCCTGGGGAGTGGCCCTCAAGGGCAGCTGAAGGAACGGAATGCCTGGCACACTCCTGGCCTGGAAAGGAAGAATGGGGGGGATGGGGACCGTTGCTTTTCCCTTCCTCCTTCCAGACTGGCTTCGGTTTCCTTCCAGGCCTTTTCCATAATAAACGCTGGGAAACTGGGGTCTGCCCTAGGAAAGAAACTGCCTTTCTGTTTATAGGTTCGGATCGTCTTTTGTCCCTTTCAGGGAACTGGTGTGTTGGGGACGGCTTCTCCGCCCTGCCTGACACGGTCCAGCCATCCTGTCAGCCTTCTGGACGGCAACACCAAAGCCAGGACCAAAAAAAAAAAAAGTTTCCGATTCAGTGCCACCGCCAAGTGTTCGATCTTATTTGTTTTAAATCAGAGATTAATTGACGGCAAGCAAATCTCTTAGAAGGCTCACTGCTGGAAACCTGTTCAATTTCCAGTGACTAGATCAATTCTGTATCTGAAGTTGGTCTTCTTAGAATTGCTGCCAAAAGAGTGAAAGCTTTTTTTTTTTTTTCCCCCTTCTGTAATTTGTTTTTTCAAAGAGGAATCCAGCTTAGGCTGTCCTTTTTTGTTGTTGTTTGTTTTTGTTCTCCTGTCTTTGACATACATGCATTCCATTTCAGACCTGTCACTGTGTGATATACCAAAGGCCATGTGTTGCCTGCCACTCTGACTTCCTGCTCTCAGAATACTCAGGAATCTGGATCCTGTAGGAGGGGAAGTGGGGAGAATAAAGGGGATCATTCTCAGAAGAGATAGTAACGGGTCTCAGGGGCATATGGAGAAAGAGGTCACCCCAGAAAAAGAGAATGTTTTTATACTAGTGTGTGCACATATGTGTACACACATGTAAATCTCTGGAAGGAATTAAATGCATATTCAGACTCTCCCCCTGGGGTGTTTGTTTCTGAGGAGAAACAAGTTTGAAAATAGAATGTAGTAAATGGCTTACAGCACAATTGCTCCCCCATCCAGCCATGTGTACTAAACTGTTGCCGGTTCTATAGTTGAAACTCAAGAAACTTGTCCCTTCTCTAGCCTTCCCCCCATAACAGCTCTTCCTTCCTTCAGTCACAACTCAGGTGCTTCAAAGATAGAGGTATCAAGTGTCACATAGCACCCACACTCTTGAAGTTTTGGTGCCATCCCCCAGGCTGTCCCAACTTCACCTTGTTGGTCTAAGAAAACTTGACATCCTTTTCAGGTATTCGACCCAAGGTGTGGGACTCTGACCTGTTGCTGGCGTCCCACGAAGCCATTCCAATCTCACGATTCTCTTTTCTTGGCCTTGTAGGGACAAAGTTGGGAGGTGGGGGGGTTAGGGAGGAATGGTTTAGGGAAAGGGGACATTTAGCTTTATGTACTCAGGGCTTTGCAATAAAACCAAATATCCTTTTGCTCTGTGAGAATAAAAATTTTTATGATATATCTTGTGAAAAACATTTTATAAACAAGATGTGTTTGGATCAGACTTCTTGTCATTGCATGGGGATGGAAAGTCAATGCATTCCTTTTGTCCTCTAGTTGGTTAAATTTGCTGGTTAAGTTTGAGAGTGGGGATGAAAGGGATGCAGCCCACCAGGGCAGTCCTTGCCCAGAATCTATCATCTTAGTACATATACTCCGAGCCCTGCTGAAAGATGGATGGAGGAAAGGGCTTTGCCAAGATCATCTGGAAAGCCCTGGGGTTACCGGCAGTACCCTGCCTTCTGGAGGGGAGGAGCACAGGAAATGCTATGTCCAGAGTTGACAGGCCCTTCCATACTGCTTTGGATTCCTTCTGTGAACTCAGCTGTTGTCTAACTTGAACTGAGGTTAGAGCATCTGGGGCAGTGGGGCAGTAGCACACCCCGAAGGCTGTGAGGGAAGGGTCAGCCTTCATTGAGAACACATGTTGAAATATGTGCCTGGTTCCTTGGGTTTAGTGTGGAAAAACCACGGAAGCTCCTTGTCTTGAGGCCGGTTAAAATATAGGCTTCAGGAGGGAGGAGGTGTGGGCCTTGCCTGCTAAAGAGTCACCCTTGGATAAGAGGAGACCTGCTTTACCTTCAGGCCATGGTAGTAGATATAGCCACCCAGTTAAGGAAGATAGTCTATCATTGCCATCCCACCTGAGTCCCGATTGCTGCTTTGGCAGAATGTTTCTAATGTATGTGGGTCGATAGGATCTTAGAGGAACTCTTCCAGAGGGGAACTAAACATGAGGGGTGAGAGGGACCTGGCTGGATGCCCTAGGCTGATTTAATTGATGGCTAAGTCAAGACCAGACCAAGATCCCACACAGTTCTCTGATGCTGAGTGAAGTTATAGGGCCTTCAGAGATGCTGGTGATTGGACCCAGGAACATAAGAGACTTGTTTAGGGAAGGGAAACATCATATTCAAGAGGGCGAGGTGCTTTGTGCTCCAGCATGTTTGTAACAACTGTGACTAAGGGATTTGAGGAAGTGGCAGAAGAGATTTATGGCCTTCCAACTCCCTCCCTTGGTGCTGACCCAGGAACAGGTGTGTAGTGACAGGAATGGATAAAACTAGAGATGAGGCTGAACAGGTGGTGGGGCCAGTTGGTGAGGCAGTCAGCTGACCAACTGAGTCAGTAAAAGGAGTCCTGACTCGCTGAGGAATGAGGGGAGCAGAGCAGCCAGCCCACCCAGCCCACCCGTCCTGGTTGATGGCAGGGAAGAGTCCAGGGCCAGGGACCTGGTAAGCAACCCTTAGGGATAGAGAGGCCAATGCTGCGAGGGGGGGGGGGCTGGGAACCCGGCAATGGGGAGAGAGAGCAGGGGAGAGGTTTCTGGAGTGGGGTTGGAGGTGGGGAGACCCTAGGGAATATCAAGGTTAGGATGGACAGCCTTGGAACATTAAGCTGGGGGAAGGAGGCCCCATACCACACCTCCTATCCCATCCTCATTGCCTAAGCCAGGGTCCACCCTGCCCAGTGCTTATTTCCTTGGGGCCCCTGAATAGAGACTGGAGTGTAGCTTTGTGTCTGAAATCATCCCCTTGGGCCTCAGTACCCCATTTTGAGTGTTACTCCCACTTTTTCCCCCTTCTCCCAAAGTGATATCCTGTGGTGGGCTCTTATTCCAGCACCACAGGTGAAGGCTCCCACCCCTCTGGGGAGGGGGAAGTGGTCCCTTATTCTGGGACCACAAGTAAAGATGTCAACTTTCCTCTTTGGGGAGGGGCATAGTCCTTTATCTCAGGACAGTGGGCCCACACCACAGTGGGCACATTGGCCCAGCCTTAGCAAAGTGTGTACCCCCCTCAAAATAAGCCACAAGAGACATCTTTTGGTGCGCCTCCATCGACCCGCAGGGTCCTAGGACACTGTGCGAGTCGGGGGAGGTACTGTTTTTTTATTTTTTGTAGAGGCGGTCCCTGTCCTCCAGGAGCTTACAATCTAGCTGGGGAGACACAACTAATGCACACTTAAACAATCAGTACAATTAGCGATTACCACAATATTGACCACAACTGCGTGAGACCTGGGAAAGCAAGATCAGTGAGGGGCAGGGGGCTCGGAGAAGAAGTTTAGTACAAAGATGGGATTCTTTTATTGGTTGTATAAGTCCAAATTAAGTGACACATTTTGTGGGGATAGGATGGGCTTGGGAGTCAGTGAGGAGAAAAGAGGAATGGAGGGAGCAGAGGCAGCAGGGCTGGAATGCTCGCATGGGCACACTGTAGGCAAGGGACGGTGAGAGGGCCCCACGCTGTTTCTTAACCCCCCTCCTTCACTGCCCATGCCCTCTAGTCCCGCCACTGGCAACACAGTTGGCGCCTCTTCTGCTGCATTGAGATTCAGGGCTTCAGCTGATGCTGTTGGAATGTCCATTCTGCTGGCTGGTGTGGTGTTTGGATCTCCTTGGTGGGGCCTGTTGGCATGGCTGCAGCTCCKGGGCTTGGATAGTGCTGTCCCGACTTGGTCCAGATCAGAATGTGATGCCTACGCCCAGATCTCGGGGGTCTGCTCCCCCCACCCCTCTCAATCCCCACCCCACCTGCAGAGGAGCAGGTGCAAATGGGTTGGAAAGGGATCTAGTATTGTCGAAATTGTCGGTGCTGCTTCTCCGGGGGCCTACCAGCCCCTCACTGACCTTGGCAAGTGCTCCTCTGGCGAGGGAGCACAGGGGACCCCCCATTCCTGCGCGGCGCTGGCTCCCATGCTGGTTGAGCTGCACAGGAGCACCTGATGATACGGCCGCCCAGGGCTGGGAGCTGCGGCCTCAGTTGGGGGCTCGCTGCCGGCGCTCCCCCAGCACCTGCCGCCCGGTCCGGGACACCGTGTACGCCAGCTTCTGCAGGGAGTACCTGAACACCTGCGGTGAGAGACCCAGGATCCACCCTTAATAGAGGGCACCCGCAGTGTGTCTGGTGCTGCCGTGCCCACCCGCGCCCCACCCCCTGCCCCGCCCGCCTGCCCAGCATAGGCTGGAGAGGCGCGCGCGGGCGCAGCTTGTCCACGAGTCAGGGCAGCTGGAGCTTTTCCAACTGTGCTGAGAGCTGCATGGCGGCAAGCTGATTGGACCCACAACTTAGGTATACCTCACTTCTCGCAATGGGCTGTGTCCCTGGAGGATTTCGAAAAGCGAATCCTACCCAGTAAATGCAGCATTCCAGGAACACCTTGAAGGAAATATGCGATTCCTTTGGCAAAAGATTCCTTTAGCAGGGAATTCTTCCTGCAAAGGGAGCTTTTCGGGTAAATGATTTTATAGGCAAAGCGCTTTTTTTTTTCGATTTATTTTATGCAAAGCACTTTTGCCTTTTTTTTTTTTCAACAAAGTGATTTGTCCTTTTTTGGAAGCACTTTTTTCCCCTTCCATTTTTTTCGGCGAAGGGCTTTTTCCTCTAATTGTTTTATTCAAAGTGTTTTTGTCCGATTCATTTGTTTTTTCTGTTAGCTCCTTTGTCTGATTTTTTTTTCTGCAATGCGCTTTTTATCTAATGCTTTTTTCTACCAAATGCTTTTGAACGATTTTTTTTTTCCTGCAATGCGCGTTTTCCTCTATTTTTCCCTTTAGTTACTTTTTCTCTCTTTTGGTGTTTCCTTTTGTGAAGTGATTTTTTTTCCCTGAGAAGTGCCTTTTTCTAACTTGCTTTTTGTCCCAACCCTGCAAGCGCAAATATATATATGTGCATATATATGTGTGTGTTTATGTGTATTTTTTTAAAGAAAATTTCCCCGCAATGCGCAAGTTTTTTAAGACGGAATTTTTTTGCTAGGCGAGCGATAAAGTCTTGAAACATACAAGCGCCCCGCCTCCCTCCTCGGGTCGAGTCTGGGTATAGCGGGTTTCTCTTACCACGTAGGTCTCTAAAAGCCTCAGCGATCGTCCGCCTCGCCCGAGTCTTTGTTCCCAGCTGGGCGCGGGCGCACTGGGAAGGGTCTGCTCGAGGAGGTGGGCGCAGGGAACCCGCGAGGGGCGCGCGGTGCCGCAGCGGCACTTGGGCGGACAGGGATCGCGGCAGTCGGGATAGGATGGGTTCGGGAGGCGGCAATCGCGACGCAGGGTTTGTGGGATCGGGATGCGCGCACCAGGAGCCCTCTTCGACCTGGAGTTCCCACACGCTTACCTGCAGCAGCACGCGGAAGATGTACCAGCCGATGATGAGCAGTTCAGCCGAGGCCGCTGCCACTGCCGCCATGGTTCCGAGAGTCCCGAGAGGGTAGTCGAGAGAGCAAGGGTTCGCCGAGATCTGCTGGTCTCTCGGAGTCCGCTGTTGGGCGTACTGCCGCAGCGGCCGCGGCCGCGCCTTAAGTACCCTCCCGCCACCTAACTGCGCATGCGCGCTTGGGGGGGCTGTCCAAGAGGAGGGGTGGCGGGGGGCGCTCTTCATTCGCCAAGCGAGAAAAAAATAATCCATCTGCTCTTTTCACACTGACCCCCGCCTCCTGAGTCTCATCTTAGCCCCCTTCCAGAAGATTCCGCCATGCCCGCTTTTGAATTTCGGTGTAAAATGGAGGGGCGTCACAACTCTGGGTAGAGTAGAGGGCAAGGGTAGGGAATGCAAGCCTCCTGTTGTGGCGCCCCTCTCTCTAAGCTCTGGCCTGTAAATTTGAGCCCAATGTCCAGTGCTATGCCAGAACGTACCTCCCGCACTGGTGGAAAACCTTAAGTTATGGGAGGGGTCATCAGCCCGGTAGAGAAAAAAAAAAGATACTCCTTCCAGGAGTCATGGCATCGGAGGCCCCTGCTCAGCACTCTCCTAATTTACAATGTCCTCTGGTTCACGGGAGTCCCAGAGCAAGAATCCTTCGGTGATTCTTAACATCCCGCTTTTTATGGTAGCGAGAAGATCGGTATCTGCAGCAGTGGCGGTGGCTACTGTGGGGACCCGGGCCAGGACACTGCACTCGTACCGCAAAAGCTATAGTGTCTACTCTGTGGGAGGGAAGAGAGAAGGATTGGCGCCCTTTGTGTGCGCGAAAGGAATGAGCTCTACCGAGAAGGGGTCGGAATGTGTTCGGAAGAGTTTTCTGCAGGACAGATCATTTCAATCTCTGCCTTCCGCACCCCTCCCCCAGATCCTGGTAGGTCTGCCTCAGCTTGCTTGGGTCTTTGTATCCCTTGTTCCACAGGGCTGGAGCACTGAGCCGGATTTCTCCACAGCCGCCAAGGCTTGGGCTACTGTAGCTGGGTAGCTCCGTTTCATAGTGAAGCGAGTCCCTCTCTGCGCTTGTCTTGTGCTTCCCTAGTTGAGCGTGGGTTTTGCGGGTCCCTCTCAGAGCACCAGCCTGGTGGTTCCCTCCATGGAATGTTGCATTTGTACATGGGAAGACCAAAACCGCGTGTGCAGCGGGGCCCAGCGCCTGGTTGGCCTGCGGAAAGCACCTCTCTCCAACAAGCTACCTGGCATGGAGACTAACTGGCACTCACCCCTACATGGATAGGAAATTAATTTTGATTAAAAGCTCATGGAGGTCAGGTTCTGTACAATGCCAGCAGCAGATGGAGGCATAATGATCCAAGGGAGTTCAGTTTGGTTGAAGTAGTGTAGTGATTCTTTTCCCTACATCGACTTTCGAAGAAGTTGTTTGGTTTTGGCAAAATGACACTGGACTGTTTGAAAAAAACAAGACCAGCCCAGGCTGTCATCTTAAAATATTTGGTGCCCAGCCACTGCTGTAGCTTCCCAGACCAGAGCTTGCAAGGATCCATTGCCCACCCTCATACTGGTCCTGCAGTATGCTGCTGACTGCTTTAACTCACCACTCACTGGTTGCTCCAGCTCAGCATCTGTGCTGGGAGAGAGACTAGCTACAGAACCCTTCTTTACCACATGGGGGCACAGTATGGAACCCATGGAGGTCCTGTGGCAACCACAGGGCGGTATTGTGAGGTCTGGGCCCTCTGAGGACGGGCCGCAGCCCCAGGAGGCGATACATGATCTCTGCCGGGCAGGACCCAGGCAAAGCCAGTCCACTGTGCAGACCGTGCCAGAGCCCTCTGGGGGACCCCTCCCCAGTGGAAACCCCAGGGAGACGCCTCAGGAGGCTTCCTGAACTGGTGGCTTGGAGAGGAGTAGAACTTCCTCGGGTGGGTGGGGAGGAAAGGGCATTCACATTTAACTGTTGTTAACCATGATCCATTTTCCCAAATAAGTATACATTCTGTTCCTGTTCTTTTTTTTTTTTTTTTTTTTGTCTGTCTGTCTGTTCTTTGTCTGTTTGTCTGTTGTGTTGACTTTTCTCTTCAGGATCCCTGCTGCCTTGGTGATCCCGGGCTGACAGCCAGAGAGCACAGCGGCTCAGCTCCTGGAGAGAGGGTTGAAGAAAGCGGAGGGCAGCCGCCTGCGCCCGCTGCCTCCCATTAGGTCGGTTCCTGCAGCGGTGCCCGGCAGCCTTGGCGAAGGCCCTGCCCGGCAGAGATCATGTATTGCCTCCAGTGGCTGCTGCCCGTCCTCCTCATCCCCAAGCCCCTCAACCCCGCCCTGTGGTTCAGCCACTCCATGTTCATGGGCTTCTACCTGCTCAGCTTCCTCCTGGAGCGGAAGCCTTGCACAATTTGTGCCTTGGTTTTCCTGGCAGCTCTGTTCCTCATCTGCTATAGCTGCTGGGGAAACTGTTTCCTGTACCACTGCTCGGATTCCCCGCTTCCAGAATCAGCACACGACCCTGGTGTTGTGGGCACCTAACAGCTGCCCTGTTAGCTTTCTACGGAAGCAGAAGACGGGAGGGGAGGCATTGACATAGGTCATAAAGCATTGGAGTTTCAAATCCCGCAGTCCCGCGGGTGCCACATTCCTGACGGCGCCTTTTTGGCCTGTGATGTTTTATCCTTATAATGTGAATAATGGCACTGACCTGTGCTTTTATTGTAGAGTCCTATAGTCGTGGGTGGTCTTGTGATTGTGTGTGTTCTGTCCCCATCTGGGTCCCGGCTGGCAGGATGGCCTCTCCCCTCGCCTCATTACAGCGAGGAGTCTACATCCATCCTAGTCAACTGCCCTAGGCAGATAAAATGCCAGTCTCCTTGTCACCTCTGTGACCCCTCCTTGTCAGGGTCCCTCTCCTTCCCAGAATGTTACTGACACCTCAGTCCTTCTCCTGTTTTCCCTTTAGTTCTCTTCTACCCTTTCCTTTTTTTTGGGAGCACCTGTTCAAGACAGGGCTCATTTTTGCACTTATCTCGAATTTGAAGAGATTGCTGATGCCCGAGAGCCTCGCTTTTTCATCCTCCTTCCCCTTTTCAGCAGGCTAGACAGAAACATGTCTTGACTGTTCATTGTCTACAAACCTCCAGTGTTTCCTCTGCTTCATTTTTAAGAGAGAAGCAACAGATAGAGGTTGTTCTTTCACCTGAGTGTCTGGGCTCCCGCTCCCCAGCCCAGCCTCGCTTCCTTTGCCCTTCCTTCCTGCCTTTCTCAGCATCCTGAGAGGGGGCCTCCTGTGTCTCCTGTGCATGCTCTGCAGGATGGAGGTATGGTGTGTTTGTGTAGAGCTAGTGGTCCCCTGCTGAGTGAATGGGAACATTCTTGTGTGTTTCATAGCAGCCGTGATCCCCTTGATAGGTGTTTGGATATTTTTCAGTGTGCCCTGTGTGTGTGTGTGTGTGTGTGTGTGTGTGTGTGTGTGTGTGTACGTGCAAATACATGTATGTATTCCTTTTAAAGAAGCTTTACCGAATGTGTTCTGATTTTGAGGTTTAGCAGTAGCTAGCTGTATGTAGTAGGTACCGCTGCAGTTTTTATTTAGCATGGGGATTGCAGAGTGACCAGCACACTGGACTCCAAGGTGATTCATACAAGACACAGGGGAGCAGTGGCCATCGTCCTCCCGCCAGGAGCTTCTTCGTTCCTGCGCAAGTAGACTGTATGTTATGAAGAACACACAGGAAGACTCTGTGACTGGCACTCGCTTTTTTATTTCTCAGCACTTCAGTAACAAGTGTTGGCAAACAAGACTTTCTCCTGGCCCCTGCCCACTGGGGATCAGCATGGTTGTCCTTCGAGTCGGAACCATTCCTCTCTCTTGCCTGAGGAGGGAGGGAAGCAGGCCAGGCAGAGGACAGAACTGGAGGCAGTCCATCTAGGGAATGGGACTGTGAGGCCACACTTGTGAAACATTTGGACTGCTGTTGTAGAGCTTTTATTTCTGGTGTGTTCGTTGCACAGCTGTTTGAAATGTTTAATAAAGCTTTATAAACTTTACTTTGTGGTTTAATGTGGCTGCAGTCCATTTGGGCCATGGTGTTGGATTTCTGAGTTGGTAGGGGGCAGGGGGAAACACCGAGGGGCTGAGTCCTTGGCGCCAGAGTACCTTAGCCTGAAAATTTGATCTGCTCTCTGGAGAGCAGATGGTGGAGCTGGGGGATGGGGAGCAGGGGCAGGCCAGGCGATGAACAGGAGGGAGTCTGAAAGTTTTCAGAGATGAGACATTGGTGTTTCTCAGCTCCCATGGCTTCCCGCCTGAAATTGTTTCCCTCCATAGGAGATTTGAGTAACTGATCCCTTGACAAACAACTTAAGACAGCTGGAGCTCTAATCATCAAGGATTTTTATGGTGCTGCTTTTGAAGTAAAAATAAAGTGAAACCCCTCATGGCATCTCAAGTGGAAAAATAAATAAGACTGGCGGTCCAACCAGCAGACTTAAGGTGGTGGCTAGAAGCAGGAGAGTGGTGCGGTTCCATGTTGGGGATGTGTACAGACTCCCATTGGCGACCGACCTTGAGACAGAGCAGGGAAGTTTGTCAGGGCCCTGAGCTGGACATCCACTCCTGACTCTGTTCTTACTCCCAGGATCATAGGAGTGCTGCCTGCTCAAGGCATAGGGCTCTCACAAGGAATTACCGAGATAAGAATTGTGGAAGGGCTTTGGTAACTTCCTAGAAGTTACTTTTCTTACTTGGACTGTTCATTTATTGCTATAAAGTTGTCTGCAGTTTTCTCCTGCTCTTTTAAGCCCCCCCCCATTGTTACTTTATTCCTTTTTTCATTCCAGGCTTTCCCTTGATCAAAACTTACCAAAAATTTATCTATTTTAGAGGTATATTCAAAGAACCAAAATTTTAACCATCATATATGTTGGGTATTTTTCCTACCTGATTCATTGGTTCTTTTATCTATAAATTTTTTCTTTTCTGGGTTTCTGGATATATTTTGAGGTTCTGTAGTCTTGCAAGCTGAGGATTCATATATACAGAAAGGACGGTTTGTTCAACAAACATTGAGACCTTGTACTAGGCTTGCTGGGGATTTCAGGGGCAAGACCCAGGCCTGGCTCTCCAAGACCTCATGATTCTAGCCTAGTGGGAAGACTTAACAAAATAGACAATTGCAAATTCCAAAAACAAAACAAAACAAACGAAGGCTTTTGTGTCCCTACTCTCCTGTGGAGGCACCTGGGTGATAAATGAAGCCAAGATTATTGCTTATTTTGCTCTCCCTCAGAAAGCAGCTTTCTTTTTTAGGTCAAGCCCACTTAAGAGTCACAAATAGGCTTCCCTCTGAAAGACTTGTGGCCCTTTCCAATAGGGTGCCTGCCTCCCACCTCTCCCACAGTGCCTGCCAAATCAGCATCCTGTCCGCCCAACAGTGCTTCTCACCTTGCCCAGCACCCCATCCTGGAGGACATGGTCCATGAGGGATCTTCCTGAAATGCCTTTGAGGAAGGGGCACCAGGCCTTAGAAAAACCACACTTTATAGCTGTTTGACACTGTAGCTCCTGGGACAGATGATTGCTCCCAGGGTTCCTAGAAACCACAAGACACTATAAGACCTAGGCCTGGACTTCTTTAGGAAGTCTCTTCCCTGCCCTGGGCCTCAGTTTCCTTAGAGATAAAATTTGGTCTTTGGAACAAAGACAGTTTTCTCAGCCCTGATATCCTGGATCCAGGATCTTAGGGTCCTCCTGGACGCACTTGAGGAAGGTGGCTAAACAATGAGCAGGTGGCAGGGGACCTTGGGGATAACCTGTATGTACTTTGTGGGTTAGTCAACATACCCCTTAAACCTAAAGACTCCCTCTATCAGGAAGCTTTCCTGGATTTTTCCCTGGAGATTGCTTGCCTAGAGCACTCGGCTCAGCCTTCTGCTGGTGATAAGCAGACTTACTCTTCCTTAATGACTAGATTCCTGGCATGGCCCTTGAGGGCTCCTGCCTCAAAAGGAGGCCTGCATTTTTATTTATCCAGCTGCTATTTGTCAGAATCCCAGGCATGAAGAGGGCTTGGGGCTACAGGGTGGACAGTCCCTACCATTAGGGAGTCTTCCAGGAAAATGGGAGAGGGAATGACATTGAGCAAATAATCTGAGAGGTACACAACTGTGGACTGTGGCAGGTGCTAGAAGAGAGTCTCAGAAGGGATCTGATGCAGACCTGGGAGCATTGACATTCAGACTGAGATCTGAAGATCAAGTGTAAATGTTTGAGCAGTGAAGTAATAAATGAGATGTTATTTTTTACCATCTAATCAAGCATCTCTGTGCTTGCAGATAAAGAGACCGGGCTGAGAGTAAAATTAAGGACCACCAGTATCTGGCTGCCCTAGAATCATAACCCAAAAGGCTTTTTAGGCAAAAGAGTTCAGTCCATTTAAAGCTAGAGTACTAACTGATGGGAGATCTTAAAGGGGGGTTGGGGGGCTAAGGCTGAATTGCTGGTGGCAGGCCCCAAAACTCAGCCCTGGGAACTCTTCAGTTTTCAGCTGACTGGGAACCATCACAGGGAACAATCACAAACAGGGATCTGAGGGAAGCTGGAAGGTGACACAATCAAACAGCATTTAAGGTGAGACACTCCAACTGGGCACAGTGCAGCCTTTCAACAGGGGAAGTAGCAGAGCTGTCGGCCGAGAAGGCCACTGACCAGACTGGCCAGACCACTGCGAATGAGAAAAAGTGGATGGAAGGAACAGCCATGTGTGAGAAGGGAGGAGGCAATGAGAGAGGACAGCAGGAAAGCCAACTCCCACTGAATAGCGGCAGGAAAGGAGGCCAGAGAAGGTTGTCACCTGTGTCCAGTCAGTTGGCACAACCAGAACCTAGTCCCCTGGCACCCGGCAAAGCTCACAACCCACCCCACCAAAACAGGTAAAAAGGGCATTGTTCTGAAAAGAGGAGAGGGCAAGGAAGTGTCCTTGGCAACTGTTGGAAGATTAACCTGCCTCAACCCAGCACTGTCCTTCCCCAGTGTCTTCCCGAAAGCCCAAGGGAAAACAGACTTGGGAAGCATGACATATGTTGAGAGAAACTTCAGTTGTCCATTCAGTTGTCTGTCCAGTGAGGGAACGCTGGCCAAGCAGCAGCGGAAGACTTGAGCCAGAAACCTTTCTTCCTTTGGGATAATGAGAAAGGGACTCCAACACTGGGTAGAGGGTAGACTTGGAGGACCAAAGAACCCTAGTGTGAGACTTCAGAGAGCCCCACGCCTTATGCCCTGCCTTTGTGACCACAACTCCCTTAGCTTGTTTCGTGGCTTGTAAAGTGGAGACCACAGGACCAACCTCAGCATCTGCCTCAAGGCGAAGTGCTGTTCCCTCTGTTCTGTGACCCCCCTGCCACCTTACTGTGCTCTGCTTCAGAATAGGACTGATTCTCTGAGTTTCCTGCTCATTTATTCATGGAAGGAGCATTGATCAGGCTTTTTGCCAAGCTTTGAGACATGAATGCAAAACAAGACCACACTGTCCTGGTGGCGCTTGGAGCTGCAGGGCAGGAGGCAGTCTTACAGGCAAGTGGCTACAGCACCTGCCATCAGGGCTTGAGTGGAGTCAGAGAGGGAGGGTATTTGGGAGACCATTTGTCAGTAACTAGGTGTAAAATCCCTCAGTTATGTTTTTTAAAATATTTTTTAAGTCGTAGATGAACACAATACCTTTATTTTATTTATTTTTATGTGGTGCTGAGGATCAAACCCAGTGCCTCACACATGCTGGGTGAATGCTGACCACTGAGCCACAAACCAAACCCCATGAATGATATTTTACATTCTCTGGAAGGACAGTATCCTATAGAGGAAGGAAAGACCAAGGCGTAGCTGTTTTCTGAGAGACCAAAGTCTGGGGTTCAAGCCCTAGCACAGCAGCCAGCCTGCTCAGTGACCCTCCATGGAGCTCCCTCTCTTAGAGAGTGATCTCTGCCTGTTTAAGAGTATTCCATCATGTAAGGATTGAACATGACCCTTCCCCAAAAAAACTAATCCTCTGCGTGGTTCTGGCCTTTTACCTCTTTTCCTGGGCAGGTTGTGGACAGCCTACACTTAGACAGCTCACCATCTCTGCCAAAGCTAAACCCCTGACAGTCCCCTGCCCCACACTGGTGTGGCAACCTCTGAGGAGAGGGCAGAGAAGCAGGTGATAAGACCCTGGGCTTGATTCCCACCCACTTCCCATGTGACTTTGTTCTCCTCTATTCATTCTCTAGACCTGTATCCCCTTTTATAAGTCAAAGAGAGGACCAGACCAGGAAGTCTTAAAGTTTCCAAAGCCATCTTCTGTGAAGCATTGGTAACCTCTATCTTCGATACTTCAGTCTTAGAGATTATGTTTGAAAAAATATGCGTTTAGACAATCAAGTATTTAATCAAAGGATTTTGCATTGAAGAATAAACTTTTTTAAATTTCTGGTTATAGTACAGTCAAGAATGTTAGCTTACAACCATGGCAGACACTGAAAAGGTCTATGAGGAAGGAAAACAAAGTCCTGCATTGGTTCCCTGTTGCCTGTGGTCCCTGCTCCTTAGTTTGGTCCTTAAGGCCCTGCACAGCCCTTAGAGATAGGGCTTTTAGTCTTTGTCCTTTGACTAGGCACAGAAGCTGCCTGACCAGGCCTGGCATGGTACCTGTTGGTTCGCCAGTCCCATGGGTAGATAGATGGATCCCCCCCAATCTATTGCCAGATTCCCTATAGAATGGGTAGCCTGATCATTCTTTTTTATTATTATTATTATTATTATTATCTTTTAGAGAGAGAGAGAGAGAAAGAGAGAGAGCGAGAGAGAGAGAGACAATTTTTTTTAATATTTATTTTTCAGGTTTTGGTGGACACATCTTTTTTTTATTGTGTGGTGCTGAGGATCAAACCCAGTGCCCCGTGCATGCCAGGCAAGCACGTTACAGCTTGAGCCACATCCCCATCCCCGGCCTGATCATTCTTACATGGAAGGGAATTGCCTCCCAAATCTCCTTTTGGCAACTCTGAAGTGACAG